CAACGGTGCCCCTGCAAAGTAGCAACAAGAAACTCATTCGGTGGAAAATTTGCAGACATTATCGTAGCATCCAAAGATTTCCGAGGGTTTGGAGATTGAGATAGCAAAAGGACAGAGAGGGTTGTGTAAAGCTGCAGGCCTAAACCAGAAGTCTCATTTCTACATATTCTGTTTACATAAACTGTTTACTTTTAGCAATATTTTAAATGACGCATGTCGATTAAGTTGATTTTGATGAAACATTACAGGTTTAAATCTAGATTTACTGCAAGTTTCCCAACAAAACGGCTTATCGGATAACTAGTTCAGCCAGTTGTGCAGTTTCTGGTTATGATAAATGGCGTCACTTTGCCTTTTAAGCCTTTAAAATGTCGGGGTATGGAGGGTTGGAAACAACAGACTTTTACAACGCTCACATTTTCCAAAGTTGTTAAATCGTAGCTCACCGATTAAAGCCGCCACCAACTCGAGAATATTCAACATATTAGAGTTTAGAAGCGTTTCTGTGAGCTCACCTCAGATCTCAGCTCAGGTGTGTAAGCATGAGTTTTGAACATCACAGCTAGTCGACGTGTTTTTCTTGTTTTTTAATGAGCAAAAGGGAGACAACAGAATTTTTAATCTGGTAATTAAACCTTTTGTGAAGGAAAAAAAAAACCCCCACATCAGACTAATATTCAAAGCAGATTATTTTTAAATGTGTTACAACACGCTCTGCTTTGTGACAAAAAAAATATGATATCACGCTGGATAAGAATGTGTACAGTGTGTATAATAAAACCCGGTTTGAGCTAAAAGACAGAGACAGCCAAAACATTTCTTTTCGTGGCATGATGAGCCGAGATTGGCTTGTTTTAAACAGCAAGGTAAGACTGATTGGCTACTCGCTCTCCCGCTGCGCTGCTGTGTGTTTCGCTTCAAATGGTTTTTAGCACACAATTTGATTGTGTTCCTGGCATCAGGGGGGTGCAAAGCGTCCTCCGGCTGAATATCGATACGACGAGCGTTTTAATTGTCGGCGGCGGCCCGGCTGCACGCGTCTCGGCTCCACGTCTTTCGGTTTTTGAACCCTCGTTGTTATAATTCACAACTAAACGACGACTGCAAACATCTCTTTAATCTAAAAAAGTCTAATCAGAGCGGGCCAAGAGAGATTTCTTCTGTCAGAGGATGGAGGGAGGAGGAAGCGGCGAGCCATGGCGGGGTTGTGTGTTTGTGTGTGAGTCGGGGTTGGTGACAGAGGTGCACCCTGCTTGTTCCACTGGCTGGCACCTGTCACTACTTATCAACAACACGCTAAACCCCCCGAAGACGCCGTTCTCCGTCTTCTCCATCTTCCTCGCCGCTCTAATTCCCTCTCTCGTTGTTGACTGTTTCACATCAGCGCTCTTTTTTGTTTTAATTCGTCTCTGTGTGTGTGTGTCTCTTACATACATACAGACACATCCACCTCCCTCCCTCTCGCCTCCTATTGTCATCCTTTTCTACCACTGTAACAACTATTCTTCCTCTCCTCTGATGTGCCATAATAAAGTGTCTGGGCTTCTCTCTAAAGTGCTAAATGAGATTCTCGGGCCTCCAGGGTGGATACTGAGTGTGATGTGTGTGTGCGTTTGAAAAAAAGACTGAGCGAGTGCGAGACAGAACGAGACGAGAGGCAGACAGATGGAGATGCATGTAACGTAGTGCACGGGCAGATTCTTCACCACATTTTCCCAGACAGATATAAGAAGGGATGCATTAACATATCCGTAAGAACTCTGGATGTGTGTGTGTGGTGTGTGGCTGGAGAGGAGCCACGCAGAGCAATAAAGCCAGGAGCATTGGTTTACCCAGGTCATTGGATTACGACGGCAACCCCTGGGGGAAATACAGGAGGATAAGGAAGGACGTCTAGACATAACAATAAAATACGCACGCGCCCTTTACCTCCACACCTGCCTGACGTCTGAAGTTAAAAGTGTGCTCAGGCTTCAGGGATAATAGCAGATCATGTCTGCGGTGGACCAACACGGTGGACACTGGAAGCTTATCACAGCTATATCTGTGTCGGTGTTGTTGTTAGAATACTGAAATAGATGCTTGGGATCATATAAAATGGCGTCACTTCTTATTATGTCCAGCAGAGTGGCTCTAACTCCGTTGTTTAAAACACTCAGCGCTGTCGGCAGCACATGTAGCAGAGTCATTATGCTGCACTACTGCCAGTGTACAAACAACTAATCAATTTGTTCAATTAAAATCGATTATTAAAATAGTTGTCAACTAATTTAGTCATCGATTAATTGCTTAATAAGATTTTTTTTTACCTTAAGTGGCCCGTTTTTGTTTTTGTTTTTTTTCAAATTTCAAATATCTGGGCTCCAGACTGAGACTTTTATTTTATTTAAACTGTATTTTGATCCTTTAAAAAATAATAATAATAATAATAAAGTATGACACTAAAACAAAGCTGAGAGAGAAATGCATTTTCTGTTCCTCTGTATGTCCTGAATATATAAAGAAATAAAAAATCTTCAATCAATCAATCAATCAATCAATCAATCAATCAATCAATCAATCAATCAATCAATCAATCAATCAATCAGCAGATGATGGTGAAGGGTCCAGTGGTGTCTTCATGGTAGCTTGCTAGCTAGCTAGCTTGTTAATTAGCATTTTTAAGTGATCTAAGCCCATTCATTTGTCTGTATCCACTGCCACAAAGACGTCAACATGTGGCTTTGCATAAAACACATCAGCTGGAGGACATGAAGCATCATAGAAGTTTTTGTTATGGTTTTAATTGCTGGCTAAACTCCATGCCAACGTAGAACTGCCGGTAGTCCGAGGAGGCGCCTGCTTGGGTCGCTGCTAAACAGGAAGAGGCTCCACCTGGTGGTGCAATCAGATACTGCAGCTAAATACGCATTCTGACATGCACGTAGACAAAACAGGTTCTGGAGCCACGATAAACCGTCTCCTGTCCGTACCCACCAGCGTAACATTAGTGAACAGCTTGGATGCAGAAATATTTTTTTTCTTCTAAATGAATCGCAGCTGTCAAGCACATACGCTGCATTCATTTTAAGAACCTTAAAGTACTTGAAATGTGCATTATTTTAGTACATGTGTATGCTACGTGCTGCTTTTTTTTAAGTGAAAAATGGGTTTTAATGATGCCAGAACATCAGGGGAAATAAATCAAACCAGTCAGTACATGGAAATATTTGTCCACTGGAGCTGGTTTACATTTTGCATAATGCCAGAATTTGATAAGCTCTGATGAGTACAAATTTCTAACCAGCGGTAGATAATATAAACCAAAGCTAATGAATGTTTATTCCATAACAGGGCTGCTAAAAGTGATTTTTTATATTATTTTCTCAAGGAACCAATTGGTCGTTTGCTCTATAAAATGTCAGAAGATGGTGAGAAATGTCCAGCAGCAGCTCCTGAAGCCTAAGAGGACATGAATTTATCTCACTGATCATGTTATGCCACTTTTTCGGTACGTCAAAATGTATAAATACAAATGAAGAAAGTCAATATAGATGAAAATGTTGTTGCCTTTACATTTGTAACAGATATTGTTACCTGGAAAGGTAAATAAAATGTGGTGCTACTTAGCATCACATGTCCTGTCCTTGTTTTCCAGTTTGTTTCTCGTTTGTTTTAATTACAACAAGCCAAAGAACTGCAAATGAACGTCTGCTTCAGCTCACTCTGATAGCGAACATCAAAAATCATTTCCAGCTGCTACGTTCCCGTTGGTCAAAACGGTCCGACTACTTTGAAAGCTTTTACATTTTGCATTATCTGTAGTTTTAAGTTAATGATTAATTGTCTCCGCTGGAAGCCATAATGAGCACTTTTTTCAAAAATAACTGAGGATGAATCACTAAGAATGAACAGAAAAGGCACAAATGACAGCTATGAGACCACCCAGAGGGCTTTTTTCTTTTTCTTTTTTTTCTTCCAAGAATATAAATCCACTTTCTGGATTAGAGCGATTAAATTAAGCTGTAAAAGGTCAAACAAATTATTCCTTGACTCCAAAAAGTCAGCGCTCCAATCAAAGTCAATGGAGCAGCACCAGATTCTACATCTTAATGATACTGCTGATTACAAACTTGGCTCTCCGGTTTTTAGCTTTGGAGGAGAGTAGTTTATGTTGACATACTATTAATTCTACTTCCCTCGGTCTCAGCAGTAAAACGTCTTTATAAATCAGGTTCACTATCTCCGTTCGGCTGCGCTGGCTGGCAAGGTGGTTGCATGTAGTGGTTCAATTAGTAACTTAACAGTGATTTATAATGCGAGCAACAATCCTCGTAAACCCCAACCTTATTTTTTTCCCTCTTTGCTCTAATCCTCCTGCTATCTTTTGCTGCTCTTTTTTTTTCTCCATCTCTTTATCTCGTGTCTATTACATAACATTTCTTTTAGTCAATTCCACTTTAAAACTCCTCTTATCAGGAGAATATGGTGAGTGTGCGTCCCACGAGATCAGACTAATGATGATGCCGAGGCTCTCGAAGAGTCATTGGCGTTCAGAGACGAGCTGAATACATTAAGACAAAGCAGATAAAATATAGGTTATGTGATTGCTTGAAGGTGAACGGCATGCGGAGTTCTCTCAGACTTGTTGAGAGTCTTTGATGAAACCCGTCATGGGATGATGGCTACACAGGTATTAAGCCAGAGGGACGTTTTAATGCCAACATCGAGGAAATGCGACATTTTGTGACGATTAACTGCTCGTATGCGTCTACCGTTGGTGTTGGTGTGTTAGTAACGGCCTCCTCCGTCTTTTGTGAATTTTACTGTTAGTTTGTTTGAGTTTGGTTGGTGGTGTACTGACCCGTACCTCCATCTCCTTGAGCACAGGGTGGTCCTCGATCCCAGGAAACAGGACCCGCATCGCGTAGGTCCGGTAATCCAGGAAGGGAATCCCGGCTCCGTCCAGCTCCTGGGTCAGCTCGTGGATGTCCGTCTGGAGCTCGGCGAAAGCTACAGACGAAGGAGGCAGGTGAGGGTTAGAGGAGGTGATGGAGGGCAAATGGTTCTGTTACACAGTTTATCTGTTTTATATTTAGCAGCAATGCAAAGGTAATGATGGAAGAGAGAACTATGGCATGTCTTCTTCACAACAAAGTAATAATACCATAAATCATTACAAAAATATATATTTAATTTTTTTTTATTATTCACATCACAGAAATTAAAAAAAAAAAAAGTAGAATCCTAAATATACATTATCATATACAACATTTTTTGGTGCAAACAGCTGTTACCAATACTTAAAATACAAAAAAAAAAAGAAATAATATGTGTTCCTACATATTGAAGACAAATTACCATTTAGATTATTTATTTGATTTCATAATTGTCCCCTATCGGCTCTATGGAAGCACAGCCTGCAGTTCAGTCTTTAAACAGTCTTTAAATTGTTGTCATGTGACTGTTGGTTGCAGCTGATTCACTGATGGCTTATTAGTTGTGCAGAGAAACACAAAATTTTTCATTTTTTACAGAATTTTTTTTGGTGCCAATGGTTTATTTTTTGTGGCTTTTTTCCTTTTTATAAAAAAAATAAAATTTAAATAAGAATTTTAAGCTTTAATTTGGTTATATTTGTTCACAGCTCGGAGACCCTCAAAAACAATTTACATATTCTTTCAGTTTTTACAGTGTGTGACTGATAGGTGGTGATTTTTCTTATATTTTTGTAAAGACAACCTGCTTTCCAAGCTGTTGGCAGGTTTCGGGGTTTAGGCACTTAATGATCTGCCTTGATGTTTCTATCATGTGTTAATTAGCCCTGCTAGCAGAATAAACCGAGTCATTAACTAACCATAACCCTCAAGGCTAGCTAAATATTAGTCCTAAACACTCTGTCACTATCAGTCTGTTTCCGCATTGCTTCTAACTACATCTGACAAGAAGCTTTAGCTAGCACCACGGCTAAACCCCCAGCGCCAACATGATATGATAAATAAGATAAACCGTTTCTGTTTAATAAGATAGCACACACTTGTTGTCTTTACTGTAAGTGGACCAATCTTTTTTTTGTTCTGCTGTGTCCCAAGACCAGGCAAAAGGCCCACTTTGAGCCAAGAAACCCCTGGAATACCAAATTGTTCCGACGGGGACGACTTCTGAGGAAACAGAGTCTTAAATGAAGCTACCAGGATGTTATAGCTGAGCTGTACCAGAAGCAACAGAATGTCGTCCACACCACAACAATGTGTGGTCTGTAGAGGGCACCAAACATCTTTTGAATTAACACTATACAATTTACAGTCCAGGTTGCAACCAAGCTAACGAGTTTAGTTGCTGTTTTGCTGCCGTTTTTCACTGATATGCAGTTCTGAGAACAAATGCCAGGAAGAATAAACCAGACCGGGAAGAAAATGAAACAATCTTGGAGAGTTATTGCAGCTGACTTGAACTAGCTCGTTGCTAGCAGGTTGCTGACACGCTGAATTTAGCTCATTGGCTACAGAAGTCCAACAACGAACCCTGTAATTATGTCACCAAGCCCCGATCAATGCCCACAACTCTGTTTTGTCTCCAAATTTGAAATGACCAGTTGTGTTTGAAACGCAGCCATTGCTAAATCCAAGAGAGGCCAGATTAGTCAGTAATAACCTGTAATACAGTAAGAAAGACATGATCCACCCCATGGACATCTCTCTATATTAATAATAATAATAACACTGGGTTACAAAACAATACTTTTTTGAAGGCGTCCAGGATTTTTTAACTGATTTCGGACATTTTTGCAACGCTGAATCCAAAAATGACATCTGCTTTTCTGTATCAGGTCAGGTTTTTATGCCAACTCGATTTTAAAAAATCGATTTTACCACTAAATCGATGACATTTTTTGACATTAGCGATTGATTTACTCTAGTACTTCTCATGTCTCATTTTCTAATCCTTTTCATGAGCTACATGACCCAAAGGTTGATGAGAGTAAACATTTGTAAAGGTAAATACTAGTAAATAGCATGTTTCATCAAATCAAAACGTTGACCTCATTGAGCAAAACCGATGTAATATTTGGATTCAGCACATTGCACCTGTCCAAAATCAGCTCAAATAACTTTGACACCAAAATGGCTGTAGACCAGTGTGATCAGATTTATAGACACTCAAAGATGCTTTTACACTGTTAATTATTCATTCACACACATTCATTCTGGTGGTGGTAGCTACGATTGTAGCCACAGCCGCCCTGGGGCAGACTGACAGAGGCGTGGCTGCCATTCTGCCCCCCCGACCACCACCTCAAACAATCCATTCATACGCATTCACACCAGGCAAGATGGGTGAAGTGTCTTGCCCGAGGAGACAACGACCATGAAACAGGTTACAGGGCGGAATCGAACCGCCGATCATCCACCGACCCGCTCTACCACCTGAGCCACAGCCGCCCCACATATTGCCATTGGTATTGTTTACATATGTATGCAAGTACTTACTGGTAGCGGTGGGCAAACATTTTACCACCAGAACCAGGACACATGAGGTTATTTTTGAAAGTTTGGAGGCTGGCTTTGCATATTTACTATTTACTGCATGAAATGATTTCCTCTCATGTTAAGTTTGACAAGTTTAACTTTAAAACGATGGTCATGCAGAGACATATGACAGCCCCACAGGAAATATCTGCGAGAAGGCCGGTGCAACACCTTTTGCACGAATGCTGCTCCATATCGTCACACTCCCACTTCTGTGCCACACTATCAGGACTATGCATTCACCATGTTCATGCCAAACATACTGGACCCCATCAGAGACGAACATCTGACCAAACAATGTGCTCTCAGTAGTCACCAGGCTAGCGTTGCAGTTTTATGCCAAGGATCCTTTTCCATCTTTGTGAAGTCACACAATCAGATTTTTAAATTCCGTGTCGAGCCACGATGCAGACTTCCAGATAGACAACCCATTGGTCCAAAACAGAGATAGCATTGGTGCTCACAGGTCATTTTAAACCCATGTGTGTGCAGTTAGGAGAATTAAAAATCACTCAGCACAAGTGTGACTGTCGGATCCAGCCTTTAAAAGTATTTGTTTTGGATTGATCATTCGAGAAAACGCTGCGCTTAACTAGTTCAAAATAATGCAATTTTCGAGAGGCGATGACACTGAAATCATTTGACATTTAACTGATTTTTTCCACAAGGGCGCACTCACTTCTCTTATATACTGTACGGGTCACATGAGGACCCTTCCAGAGACAAGAGGAGGCAGACAGACGGTGCAAACAGTGCATAATTTCAGGTCGAGTGTCTGGGTCTTATAAAAGGGCTAGACTGAGAAATAAAGGTCAGCGGTGATGAAGAAAGAGACCCACAAAGGCTGTAAATGAGGACCAAAATGCAGACAAGAGCGAGACGCGAGGGAATACACGGACAGATGGACGGATGGAGATGCAGCATCAGCAGCTCGGCTACTGTTAGCAACTCTTACTTGTTGTGTGTGATTGAAAAAAAAAAAAAAAAAGCAAGTCATTTTCCCATAAATCCAAAGATGACACTACAAATCCACAGCTCCTCGACAGAAGGGGCTAAAAATCTAGTA